ATGCCACAGCACTCTACCCAGGGGGACAGCTGGAGGCTCTGTCTCAAAAAAAAAAAAAAGACTTCTGTAACTGGTTGAATTTGCCCAGGACTGCTTTGGGTTTATGAATGATAGTTTTGCTTCTCCTAGGTTGAGTCAATGTTTGGCTTTACTGGAAAACTGAAATTATCCTGGTAAGAGATTGAGTTTGGACCTGATCGATGGGCTTCATCAGAGCAGTGAATCTGCTGGGACATCCTGACTAAGGCTGTTGAAGGACATCCTTGAATGACTTAGCAACAAAGGGGATTATACCTAGGGATGCCAGAGACAAGCCCAGGCTGAGCAGTACTTGTCAATTATGTTCTCTCCCTTTCATTTTTGGCTAAATAGCCCTGGAAATGTTACTTAACTCCTCAAGTCATCTGTAAAATGAAAATAAGAATAGTATATTGAGGCCAGCTTGGTTCCTAGCACTCTGGGATACCGAGGCAGCTGGATCACCCGAATTCTAGAGTTTGACACCAGCCTGAGCAAGAACAAGACCCCATCTCTACTAAAAATATAAAAATTAGCCGGGCATTGTGGTAGTCCCAGCTACTCGGGAGGCTGAGGCAGGAGGATTACTTGAGCCCAAGTTGAGGTTGTTGTGAGCTATGATGACAACATAACACTCTAAGGCAGGGGTCCTCAAACTTTTTAAACAGGGGGCCAGTTCACTGTCCCTCAGACTGTTGGAGGGCCACACTGCAGGCCCCAGGACGAGTCGGCTGCTAAGCAGGACAGGCAGCAGTGGCAAAAACACCCAGCGGGCTGGATAAATGTCCTAGGCGGGCTGCATCTGGCCCACGGGCCATAGTTTGAGAACGCCTGCTCTAAGGGTTGCCAAGAGAAACTCTTATCTCAAAAAAAAAAAAAGTGAAGATTAAATGAGTTAATATAGAGTTAAAATATATAGAACTATGTTCAATGCAAAATAAATAAAGTGCTAGCCAGTATTATCATTATTCGTTCCACAAATATTTGTCATTGTTTAGCCACTAGCAATGAATAAAATATACAAAACTTCTAACCCTTGTGAAGCTCCCTCAGAGGGGAGAGAAACAGCAAACAAATAAAATATGCAGTATGTGAGCTAAGAGTTGATGGAGGAAAAGTAAACAGGAATGAGAGAGCTGGGGAGAAAGATTACGTTTTTAAATTGGGTGGTCAGGAAAGTCTCATTGAGATGATTCGTATTTCCATTTTACAGATGCAAAAACTGAGGCACAGAGCACATACATAATTTTTCCAAAGCGGCAGAGTCAAAGTCTGGCAGCAGACTGTACTCTTAACCCTGCAACTAGTTCTGAGAATCCTAACTATAATTGGGGTGGAATATAATATGGTGTCATTGCTACTACCACTTGCCACTGTAGGAGAAAGAGACCGAGTCTCATAGGGACCAATGACAGAAAGTACAAGGAGAGATATTTTGGTTTGAGATATAAAGTTGTCTCGTAAATAGAATTACTGAAAATAGAAGAGACTGTCCTGGGAGCATTGGGTCTTGGAAGCACTGGAAAGCTGGTGGCTTTCTCACAGGTTCCTGGGCCTGGACTATGTGGGGACAGACCCTTCCTCCAGTGAAAGCACAGACACAGTGTGTGTATATTCTTTGGGCATGGTAACGTATTGGAGCATGAAGGGCAGAATAACGAGAATCAGGCTTCTTGCTCACCTCTGGCGGGGAGAGTGCACTGGCAGCCTTACCCCATGGGGAAGGGGAGTAGGGGACAAAAGCGTGTTGCATCTACACCAGTTCTGTACAATATCCTTGTTCCTGCTGCAGCCTGAATTCTTAGCTAAAATCACTTAGAGCAGCAAAGATGTGTGTGCATGTCTTTGTCTTTGCAAGCCTGCAGCCCAGAGAGGTGGATCCCCCAGCACTAGGCATTCTAAAGAGAGGCACCCCTTGGGAAAAACCCAGAGGAGGGCCAATGTGGGAGGGAGGCCAAGCGGGACAACCTTAAAGTCCCTTTCCCATCTCAGACTCTAAGATCCTGCTTCTCTGTGGCACTAGTATTTTCACATGCAGATGACTTCCTTGTTTTCATCTTTATTAGAATATTTTTTGAACTAGTATATATATATGTATATATCTATGTATACACACACACCTGTATGTGTGCGTGTGTATGTGTTCTATATGCTGTAAAGTGCTTTACACACACACACACACACACATA